ATTAAGTTGGAACTTCTTACCTATGATCCTTTCCTCTTCTTCCTTTCTTTGTTCCCTCGCGGCTGGTTGTACTTTACAGCTTTAACTTCCTCTACAGTTTTTCATAAATAAAAAGATAAAACTTGTTAATTTTTTTTTTCTTTATACATCTGTCTTACTATACGCTTATACGATCAATTAGTTGATCGATTGTTACAGTCTACAAATCAGTATTCTTCTTCTTCTTCGTTCTTCCCTCTAGATGTGTATGTTGGGAAGTAAAGAAAGGGAAATACTTTATTTAAAGCAGTGCTGCCTTACTACATAGGGTTGCTCGATACACAGCATACTCATCAATCATTTTTTTTTTTTTTTTTTTGACATAGCACCTAATTATACTTGAATCACATATTTATGTATAATATGTATACTCATCATGTACAATATTAATACATTTTATACAACATATTAATACTATACTATACCAACATAATCACTATTATACAATATATATACATATACATTTCGGTAGAACCGACACAACACAGAATCTGAGATTTATAGAAAGAAAAAAAATATTTAAATGCCAAAATCCAAAATTAGAACGCACACATACCAAGTAACATAATCCTATGGACACAGACAAAAAGATATGATTAGTAAAAATATTTAAAATTGAATAAACTAATAAATATCCACAATTATCCCTCAATTATCATACATGTGGTTATGAATGATCTTGAGTGAGTCTAGAATAATGCTAACGACCAACACTGCAAGCTCCCCTCATCAACACCTAGTTCCTCGAAGTAGCTCCTTGTTATCTTAGGAATCGTTCCGTGAAACCCAAACCAGAAGCTTCTTACGGTGAACTCTCTCTCTCCGAAGATCTCGCGGAATTTCTCTTCTACCAAAGTGATACATTTATCATATATTTTATACTTCATCCGCCTGATCCAGGTCATTGCTCTCAAAGTGAACAGTTAGATGTGCCGTCTCTAGTGCCGTCTTTCCGGTACTAGAGAATGCAAGTATATCTGAATATCTCGTTGAGCCATCACTATCGACACAATAAACCGCGTCGAAGCAAATGAGTTCCCTTATCCTAAGGAGCCTCATAAACTAGAATTTGGCCCTATGTATGTATAAAATTATTGGTCCTCCTTAGGTCCTCCAGACTTCCGAACAGCTTGGTCCCAAAGTCTGTGGGTCGGGACCATATCTGCCTCCACCAGCTGGCAGCTTTGCAGAATGTGCTCTATGGTTTGTTCATTCTGGCCATATTTACACAGGTGACTGGTTCTATATTGAACTTCCAGAAGAGGTGTGATTTCAGACGGCTATGTCGAGTTTTGAGGCGAGAAATGACGACCTGTTCTCTTCTGGTTAGCTTGGAATAATCGTCATGGGGGATTGTGATTTGGATGACTTGCTTTCCACCTTTGGCTTATGGCTGCTTTGTTAATAAGCATTAACGTATTAGTAATTAGGAAGTTTGAATTAGATGTACGTGCCCATTCATCCAAAGATCTCGTCTCTTAAGGAATTATAAAGAGAAAACCTTCGCAATAATAATAGTGAGTAATAGTAATAATTCGGTTCTATAAGTTAATCATAATATCTTTTAATGTATACATATAAATAGCATTAACCGAATAAGCGAAGCTACACGGGAGTTATGTGTTGGGTTCTTAACTAATAGCTATATAATGATTTTTTAAACGTACGGCTGGATCGATTCATAAGTTTGATGGCTTAAATTTTTCGGTGAGAACACTTAAGTCTTTTGAACTAATATAAGCTAAAAATACTGTCCTATAATTGTATATCATGTGTTTAATAAGTATATATATATATATATATATATATATATATATATATATATATATATATATATATATATATATATATATATATATATATATATATATAAGTACCTATTGAATTATTGAATTTCAAAAAAGAAATAAATATAGATAGAAAGTAAATTGAATATTAATATGGCGAAGTAAATTCATGATTAACAATACTAAGATTCAGCGGACTTACCCAACTCCAAAAGCCGATGGAGCGATTGAGCCTTTGGTGATTCAACCCGTGAACAAAGAAACGCACTGAATTCCAACAATGGTTTCCATTGATGAGTTATAAAGGAGACGGTTTGACGCGTTTTCCTTTCTATCGATGAGCTCAGCGCTGAGTTTAATAACTTAATAGGCCTAGAAATTTTGGTAATCGATAATAACAACAAAGTTTCTTTATCATCACAAATGCAGTACAATGTTTTTTTGTTTAAATGGACTGGTTTTACTAATTTATTCGAATCTTTTTTTTAAATAACACCAAAAAGTATGAAATAGAAAAAGTATAGTACCAATTATTAATTTCATTAAATATTAAATGTGCATATATGTAAATAAATTGTCTCAAAGTTTATATAGATTACTTAAAAAATTATAATGTACTACAATATGAATTCGGTTATAAACCTGTAAATAAAATACCCAATTCATACCGCAACATGAAAGATAAACAAGCAGAAAATAAACATGCAAGTGTGGTATATAAAATCAACTGTTAAAATGCCCTTGAATACATTACGGAGAATGCGCTAAATATTCAAACGACATAATACATCAACACATAAGTTGTAAAAATAAAAAATAAAATATCCAAAAATAAATAAATTAACTTCACTAGTACATCGCGCTTTTTGAAAAAAAATAAAATACAAATTCAGTTCTCAATACGTTAAATGTATCTACAAAAAAAATATATAAATTTACAAAAAAGTACTATAATACCATTATCTATAAGAAAACTATATTTATGAAATTTTCTAATAGAAAATTACCATTTTCTATAAATAGTAGTATAACTATTGCTTAATTAATTTAAGAGATGTATAAATGATATAATATTTCTATATCTTCTAAGGACTTTTTACAAACAGGAATTAAGTTTATAAAGAATATTGTTTGAATGTATTGAGAATATGATGATTCCAACACTGATTTTACTAAATATAATGGAGTGTACACATAAATAAAACAAAATTTACGATTTTATTAAATTGAAATAGATCAATGGTATAATAATAATAATAAAAATGAAAAATTTAAATATGTTTTTTTATAATAATGATTTATGTACTTTATTAATCGTAGTTTACAAGAATAATACACTTGATAAGAATATAAAAAAAAATCTGGTGAGTCCACTTGGAGGACTCTTACCTATTTCAGAAAAGTTTTTATCTTTAAATAAGTCTTTAAAAAACAAAATTGAATTATATTTATTTTCCTGAAAATTAATTTTAAAAAATATTTGAGGACGATTTATTTGATAAACTAAAGCAGTGCAACCCGGCCTGTGAAAGGTCAGCAAAAAATTCAAAACAATCTGATATTGCTAATCAAAAACTTGTTGCCATAGCCCAAAGCATATTAATTAGAAAATTATGGAAAATTTTCATCAAAATCGTTAGAGCCGTTTTTGCGCTTCAGTCTATACAAAAATATGTTTTTCACTTATTGTGTAGCCGCTACTGTACAAGGAGCACCCAATTTGTGTCACAGGCATCACCCGTCAAAATTCTACAAAAAAAAAAAAGAAACAACAAAATCGGTCTACTATTCCCCGAGGTAATCTTAGAACAGACAGACCAATGGCTGAAAATGCGTTTTTCGGACACGGGGGACTGTGAAACGTATAGATCCATCCAAAACCGCACATCGGAAATTCCGCCCGATCGCAATTCTTCCCTTACCTAGTATAGGTAGGAAAGTAAAAATAAGAAAATTTAGGATAATCTTAAAACCAATAATTTTAACATATTGTCTCTGTTATGTGTAAAATGTGAAAAAAACAACAACAAAAAAAAACAACTCTTAATGCTAGACGAATAAAGATAGGTTGAAAAGGCTGGTCAAATATCTACAAGATCAGTAAAGCCAACACAAAAGAAAAAAAAATGTATATATATCCTCCACTTCAGCAATCATGTGTTTCATTTTCTCATCATTATATCAAGTGCCCATTGCCAACGCCATCCATGTACCGATGCTTCCCCAATTAGTACATAGGCTAATAAATAAATACTGAGGATGTGCCTAAGCGGAGATATCTGAAAGCTACCGCAGTGACCTAATAATCGATACACACTTAAGCGGAGCGCTATCGATTTCTTTAAAATTAAACCCAAGGATATCAAAATTAAACGGTTAATAAATTAATTCTCGTGACTCTTTCAATTTTTCATAGCTACCTTATCAACTGACCCGGTCTTGAATATATTTAGAGATATCGAATAGAACGTACAGGCCGGCCAACCTACGTCGGATACTTGCTATGTCTTTCTTATCGCAGTTTATGTTAATCGCTCTATGAATGTTTAATTCGACAATGATTTTGTTTTCCATACTGGCTATTATACCGTCGAGGACAAGATTTTTTTTTCTAACTGAAGGCGTTTTTAAGGTTTCTCTCAATAATTGTCCTAAAAGGGTTTTTGCCGTATCGGGCAAGTTCCAATATTCCTGACTGATAACGATATCGGCCACCTGTATCGATATTACTATAATATATTTAGAATGCTACCATTAGGTAGTTCCTCAACAAATATTTTCTGGTCCTCATATTCATTTGTATACATTTACTAGATGTATTTTTTAATAGTGTAGAAAATGTCATAAATAATTTTAAAAAACATATAATATAGAATCAAAATTATTTATATTTATATTTAAAAGGAAATTTAAAGAAAAACACTGAACACATTGTTAATTCCACATTAAAAATAATTGAAAAAGAAGTTGATGATGTAATATATCGTAAAAATATGTTTGTTGATGGATAAAAACATAATTCTAGACACTTGAAAAGAATGTGTTGCAAATTAAAATGTAAAAAATCAACAAAAAAAAATCAAGGCTGTATAATTGACAAGATTTAAGCGTGATCAGTCTGACATAGTTGTACAAACAAGAGTTGAAAAGTTGTTTGGATAAATCTTTGTTTATTCACCGCTGGTTCGATGAAGACGCGATGTCTAAATAAACCGATGTAGAAGTTCTGATCCATCCGTCAACGGCATCTGATGTTCAATTAGGAAGCACAGATACATTAGTGATGTTTGATTTTCTAATCCTCCGACCTAGCGTATATAGCCGATGAACAGTGGGCCATCCTGTTAAATTTCTTTCGACTAAAGTAAAAATATTCATAGTGAACATTTTTATGGAAAATGGCATTAACGTGTATTTATACATCTGTGTAATTAGAAAAAAAGAATTAGTCAAAAAAATAAATAAATAAAAACAATACATGTAAGTAAAATCGACGGGAAACTTGGACAACTGTGAATCGGTTTTAATAATAACGGGTATTGGGTATGATTGCCAGAGTAAACAATAAATAAATTTTACACCTTTAGACATTCCCGAAATAAAATTTCCTTTTCCTTATTAAGTAGACAAAATTAAAAAAAAAAAATATTTCTTTGGATTGAGTTTTGTCCAGATAGATTGCTCAGACAGCCCACTGTGCGATGCTTTGCCAACTATAGTACAGGTTTTGTAATTGCGGCGGCAAGAAACAATAATTTTTGATTTTACTTCAGAACATCTAAGACAACATAGCAGAAAACCCTTCCCGTTTCTAGTTTCCAATTCGAAACCTCACAAACCCATACGCTTCACCGACTTCTTGTAACAAGGAAGGTAACAGGTGACAGTGTGTAAGCCTGAGTGAGCCGTTACCGCGGCCTGAGGGCGAGAGGTTAATGACTCCATTAGTGCATAGCCTCCGGATTGTGAGGTTTTCACCCTGCACGACTTGGGCATATGTCAACACTAATAGTTGTCTACTCTCCCTCAACTACTCCCACTATTACAGCCTCTTTCATTACTTAAAGAGATCATATATTTAATGAATAACGACCGATGCAATATCTTCAAAAAACATTTTAATATTATTCCATCAGTGAAGTGGCTGAGGTACAAGCGCTGGGATCTCCTAGAGTTTCGATTTTCCCTCCACAAGTAAGAGAAAAAGCCTCGGCTTAGAGTTCCTTTGGCTGATTGTAAATTGGATATATATAAGTATGCCTGTGTCTTGGATGTTCATTTTCCTTTTTAAGTACTCTTTATTTATTTATGTTTTTAAATTATTAGGGAGACCGGAAGGTAATATCGTTTCTGAGCAAGTCACTATTTTATTATCATTTAGCAGCTCATTTTGTACATATATTTCATGCTAAAGACGTTCTAATGTTTCAGTTACTTCTTTAATTGTAAATAATTTAATTTATAATTTTTTTTTTACAATTTTTGGTGAAATACCCGAAGAGGTACATAGCCTGTGTTCGATCACGGCAATTTGGTGTGAGCCAAATATTACCCATTGATCTGTAAGTTGAATTATGTTGCGCTGGTGATTGTGAAAATTGGTGTGGACTGTATGAGGTTGAATCACTGAGATTTGATGCTTGATTAAATCAAACAAAATATTTAGAACATGTTTATATTTCATGTAAATGAATAAAGTGAAAGAAATGAAATTGGTACCTTTGTACAGTTTTGTGGTTCTTTACAGATTAAGCACACATTGCTGATTGTGAAATTACAATTTTGTTTAATATTGTCATGTTAGAAGTTATTTGCTTGATTGTCAATTTGGACTCACTTGCTGTCTGAAATTGAGCTTCATGGTTTTGGCCACCTCTTCTTCCTCCCCATACTTCCTCCACCAGGCTGTTCTCTCATATTTTCTTTCCTTGGTATTTCTTAAGAGAGTAATTTACTATGTGCACACTTCACCAAATGAACATATTAACTCAACAGGAATGACTTGCAGAAAAATTGTGGCCATAAAATGGTGGTGAAGTTCTGAATTGTACAATTGTTAATTTTTGTGTTTCAGGGGTTGATCCCTAAACAGTCGGCATTGCATGCTTTTTGAATTTCGCAAGGCTAGTAACGCAACAGTTGCTATCAAAAACATTTGCGATTTTTACCCAAACGTATTAGAAGTTCATAAATGCCAAAAGTTCAAATTCGATAATTTTAATCTTTCCGAATAGTATCGATCAGGAAGACCAACAAGTTATATAATGACGTATTAAGGGTGGAAATCGAAGGAAACCCATGTCAGACATTCGAGGAACTGTCAAGCAGTTTTAACTAACATTGGTCGACCATCTAAGAACATTTACAACAGACTGAGAATCCACTAAATTCAACTTATTGCTTCAACGGCACAACATCGGATTTAATAAAAATATGTATAATGAAAATGTAAATAAAATAGAAAACTAGTCGCTAATGACCCTCTAGGGTAGAGGCGACCACAAATTAAAAAAATAAATAATAATAAAATAAAATAAAGGTTTCCTTAAATAAAATAAACGTCGTTACAGAGTTCCAATGAAGGGAGAAATGACAAAGGACTGAGAACTCACATATTGAGAAGAGGACGGGACGGCTGAGGAGGTTGGGGCGTAGGTCCTAGACTATCCGGATCTGAACGTTATGGGTTCGCTTCCCATCTGGATCGGTCAATATTTATTTCTTGGCGGCCCCGGAATCAAATTAATCTTGATGTTTCCAGTCCGGTAAAAAACGGCGGCAATCTCAAGGTAGCCTTCAAAGGTAGGCAAACAGGACCACGATAGGGCCCACTTGCTGGACTAGCCCTCCCACCAGTACTAGTAACATATTAAGAAGTAAAGAAAATTGAATATGTGTAACAAAATTTGTATAATTTGCTTTATTACTAACACAGTCGTATTTTATTTATGTTTTATAGAAAAGCTATATACAGATTGTCTCCTAAGTCTTGGAAAATATTTTAAAGGTGTAATAACAAACCTCAAAAGGTACACAAAAGTTAATATAAATAACAGCCGATTTTCCGCATAAAAGTAGGAAATTAAAATTTTTTATAGTTTTTTTAGTGCTTTATAGTAAACCTGTACCACTACAACCCATGAAGGGTCTTGGGTTCAGTACTACTATACTACTACGGTTGTGCAAGGAGGTGATTTGACCGAGACCACGCTCAATCGCCAGGTTTAGCCTCTTAATCAATACTTTAATTAAGAGTACTCGCTTTATAGAGGCTAGGTGTGCCCCAGGAGGGCCTATCTACCCAGGGTCGCCTCATGGCCAATGAAACAGAATAAATAAATTTTCTGACATGGCCGGTGATCGAACCTGGGGCCTTTAGCATTGGAAGCTCAGTACCCTACCACTGAGCTACCCCACTCCCTCGCTTTAAAGTCAACCAGACACTATTTTCAGGAGTAGAATTAAGATAGTATCCACTTTTAGAACTTAACAGTTTTAAACGACTGGAAGTTTGAAATATTGATGAGTTATATTCATATAATTAAAAAAAAACATTGGAACTTGTGGTTTTACCGCATTTTAGAAAACTAAAAAAAAAAAAAAAGAACTACAATGGAACATATGTATGTCGACTTGTCGGAGAGAGTATAGAGTTTGGGAGAGACAAGGGGATAGAGGATTCAACCTATAATTATTTAATGTTTCCACCCACCATCCGGTAAAATCGTTAAGGGTAAAAAACAATCAATTTTCATAACTGTCTTGTTCTACAGTTTCATCTACTGGCGTTGTCAATGAATATTGATGGTCAACGGAGTCAATTTTGACAGACGAGGCTGCCTGTTAAGTTCCTTACTCGGATATTGGTCTTCCATACTCTATCTCGTCGTTCAAGGTAATACATCAATCATTTTTAAGCGCGAATTCGGTATTGATAAAAATTAGGCTTCGTATTATTATTTCTGCTGACATTTTTTTCTGATAATTATCATGATCTGCCAGCTTAATTTTTCAGTTGGTTGGTTCGATATTTTTTTTATGATTAATAGCTTATTTATTGAAATATATTACAATCTGTCTCAGGGACATTAATAATAGTGTTCACAGATCACATTCACACTCTATATACAGTAAATAAAATAAATTATACAGAAAAATAATATATATACAATAAACAAGAATAAAATAACCTAAAAATAAATAAATAAAAAGAACACATGCACACCTACATACAATATTTACAACTTGGCGAGAGAACTCCAAGCCAGACTTGTCCCTCCAACTGTGGAGGGAAAAGTATGACTCCAGGAGTTCCCTGCACTCCTCTCTCAACCGCGTCACTAGGGCTAAACCCAGTGGAGATTGAGCAAGAGTGCTTTAGCCACATACACTCATGTCGTGAGTGGAGAATCTGGCCATTGCCAGAACTCCAATATTTACAAACTATAAAAGATCGCGGGGCCACTGCCGTTTTAACCTCCTTGGAGGATTATATGGATGGGTGGTGCTGGATAGAGATTTTGCAAAGGGATTTGGATGATGGGTAAGGTTCTGGTGGAATTTGGAGAATTTTGCTGGGATAAGGTCTAGGACAAATGGGATATTAAGGTCATGGTGTAGGGTTTTGTTGGTTACATAGAAAGGAGCATTGACTATTGTTCGAAGGACTTTTGATTGGAAGGATTGGATGCGTTTAATGTTAGTAAATTTTGCTGTTCCCCACAGTTCAAGTCCGTAAGTCCAGATAGGTTTCAGTATTGTCTTGTAGATCAGTAACTTGTTTTCAATGGAAAGTTTTGATTTTCTGTTTAGTAGTCGGTATAGTTGTCCGTATCGTCGGTTTAGTTCCTGTCTTTTAAGTCTAGTATGAGGGTTCCACGTTAGTCGTCTGTCTAAGAGAAAGCCAAGGTACCGGACTGTGTCCGAGAAAGGAAGCTGAATGGAATTAAAGTGTACTGGTGGACAGGAACTGCGTCGGAGCGTGAAGGTGATGTGTTGGCATTTGGATTCGTTTACTTTAATTCGCCATTTATTACACCAGTGTTCAATCAGGGAGAGATGTCTTTGAAGGTTTAAGGATGCTATATCAGGATCTGAGTCGGATGATAGAATGGCGGTGTCATCAGCAAAAGTTGCCAGGAAGGTATCGGGATGGACAGGGATATCAGCGGTAAAGAGGATGTAAAGGACGGGACCCAATACGCTACCTTGAGGAACACCTGCCTCAATTGGATAGCAATTCGATAATTCACTACCGCAGCGAACTCGGAAGGTACGATCTGAGAGGTAGGAACGGATGACAAGGTACAAGGACTGAGGAAGATAGGTTTTCAGCTTGGAAAGAAGCCCGGCGTGCCATACCCGGTCAAAAGCTTGAGCTATGTCCAGAAATGCACCCGAGCAATATTGCTTGCTTTCCAATGCTGCGGAAATATGATCGACCACTCGGAGTCCTTGTTGGACTGTGGAGTGTTGTGAACGGAATCCGAACTGATGTGAAGGAAAATTTTGGGATTCTATAAAGGGTAGGATTCGTTTCAGGAGGATCTTTTCAAAGATTTTTGAGAGAATCGGAAGTAGGCTAATTGGTCTGTAGGACGTTGAGGTGTTGGGAGGTTTGCCTGGTTTCGGAAACAGGATAATAGTGGAATGTTTCCACAAAAGAGGAAAGTGGGTGGTTCTTAGGATGGCATTATATAAGTAGGTGAGAAATATAACAGCTTTAGGAGGAAGTTGTCGAAGGATTTGAGAGGTAAGGAGGTCGTATCCAGGAGATTTACGGAGAGGAAGTTTTTGTAAGTGATGTTTGACCTCAGAAGGATTAACTGCTTTAGGTGGCAAGGAAAGTGGAATGGGAGATGTAAGGAATTCTTCTACTGTTCTGGTATGGGTGAGGTTGGATTCCGGATGAGAGGTAAATGTTCTGGAGAGGTGTCTAGCGAATTCCTCAGCTTTATCTTCATCAGACGCTGCCCAGGAGCCATCGCTTCGACGAA